CTCGGCCCGGATAGGGCTGCGAAGCCTTATTATACCTTTCTCATCTGTTAATATTAAAATGAGATTTAATCGCTTTTACCGGGAAAACTAAGAATGTAAATGTAACAGTACTCACTTCTACGAAAATATCTTAACTACTTTAAAAAAAAAAACTTTTAAATAACGATTTAAAAATTATTATAGTTGGACAGATTTTTAAGCAAGAAGTAAATGAGATTCTCTTACTTTACAAATTTATAATCAAAGATTATTTCTACAAGCTTCAAAAGAGAAATAATATAGTTAATAGACAATTAAGATATGTTAACCTAGAATTTATATAAAAAAATTAATCAATGTTAGTTTTGTACAGCCCTAAACAGAATCGATACGTCGACGGATGAATTAATAGGCGACACGGCTTGATTCCCTCGGGATTGATGTTGCGTTAGCGAAACGCACTGGGACCCCGCACACCCTACACCCCGGATGTCCCGCACCCCGCGTACCCCGCATCCTGCACCCCACGCACCCCGCACTACACGTACATCATCCTTGTAAGATCCCAAGTTACGAGTAGAAAGTAATAAATACCTCAAAGTAAAACTGCGCTTAGTCTGGCTTTTAGTGTTGATTTTAAATTCAAAATATCTACTGAGTAAAGTCATGAATTGACTTTAAATTATAATTAAGTAACTAGTAATATTTTTAAAGGTTTACGAACTTTCATACTTCAAATCGGTCGTTACACACATCATATATAAATAAAAATAAATAAAATAAGACACTATTCATTGACCAAAAAAAATAAAAGAACACAACTTACAATTATTACTGAAATAAAAATAAAGATGAAAATTCTTGGCCAAAAGGCTCAGCTGATGCGGCCTCCAGCTTGTCACTGAAGGCTGCGCTGGGTTTCAGCCTCCCCTAAACTACTATTAGCGGTTTATTTTTCTACATAATGAATGTACACCCACAAGTAGAATTACGTAATGCCGGCCAGTAATCCAGACTATAGCCGGACCTCCAGGGAGTCCCGGAATCCTTAATTAACCTCCCAGAGTAGGTTAGTTTACGAGTAGCTTTTATCGGTGGCTAAGTTACTGCCGCCGCTGTTTGCTTAAGTTTTATTGCCACACTTATGACTATTTTCGAGTGTTAAGTGACTACAGTAAATGGCACAGTGGGTGTTATTGTGTCATAGTGTTTGTTTAGGACGTATGAATAAATATTGCACGTGTCATCAACTTTGTAAAGAGCAAAGAATTGTAAAAATTACTTTCCTAATAATTGAGCATTTTCTTCGGTAAAGATTACTAATTATTTATTGTTATTTAGTTAAACTTTATCTTAATTACTTTACTTTTGCTTTCATAATTACGAGTAGTACGAATTATACAAGCTTTTACGCAATCTTAAACCGAAGTTATTGATTTACATGTTTAGTTTTACATAAGAAACTTTTTTAATAAGTATGAGAAAAACTTAAGCTTGTTACAAACTAAAATATTAGTTACGTAATAACGTAACTAGCTTCTCGTAATATTATATAAAATCATTGTAATTTGAATTTTCTGAAGAGAAGGAATTAAAGGAACCCGTCTGTCGTAAGATGGTAGACAAAAGGTTAATTAGTCAGCAAACACACGCTCATTACGAGCTGTACAGCTGACACAGACAGACAGACGAGCAAACAGCACAGCGGACACTTCCGGCTAATTGCCGCGCAAATTAATCCAACTAACATGCGACATTTGACTCCGGCTCTGTGACAATTGCTGTCACCATGCCGCCGCCGCTCGTAGGAAAGTCCCAAATCAATGTTTAATTTAAACACTGAAAAATGCAATATACTAAACTCTTACTAAGAAAATAGTTACGTATGTACAATGTTTTATGGTGAAAATATGTACATTACATTTCAAACGAGATTATATAAGTAATGATTGAATGGGGGTATTATCGTAATTATTTTCTAGACAAAATATGGATATGTTTCATTTGTAGACTCGCATGTG